GCTTTGTATCCAGCGTGAGAAACTTTCCGGGATCTTGAAGCTTCTGCTCAAGCTTTTCACGGGTGCAAGACTGGTCGTACACCTCGTTCAGCCAAGCCCAAGCCTCATCTGGACGATCCGAACAGCTTTTGACCTCATCCCTTACATGGTTCTTCCAATTTCTATATATAATTCTGGTGCTGGCATGTTGCTCAACTTGATGACTCCAGCTTTCTTAGTTTTTGGTTTATGAGTTTATCCTTTTCATTTCATCGCTTTGGGTTAAGGCTTTCACCAATTCAATAAGATCTGAAGCTCCCATCATCTGTTGCTGTTTGCCTACGCTCTTTGGGGAATCATTTGGGGGAATCTTGATTGGCTCAGTTGGAGTCATGAAACCTGATAAAGTCGGCAAATGAGGCTTGTCGTTTCCGACAGCTGGGTTGAGAGGAGCGCCAACTTTAAGCAGCTCGTCTAATCTCGCCTTGGCCTCTTGTGCTAACACACCAGGTGACTTGATCTCTAAAATCGGCTCGTTCTCGGCTTTTGCAGCGGATGCATCGGGTGCTCTTGGAGTCGCATAATGTTGAATAGGCACACCAGCGTTGGTGGCTGGCTCAGCTTTCGGGACGGATGCTTTCGGCACGGATGCCGGTTGCGCTTTGGCAGCGTGACTCAGCTGTTCCTGCAAATCATCAATCTGGTCCTGAAGGCGAAGATTTTGTGCCGCTGCTTCATTCATTGATCTTTTCTGGCATTTCCGGCTTGTAGTTTCTACCTTCAACTGAATGAAACGGGCTTGCTCGATTGCAGCTTGTTTCTCATATTGCTTCTTCGCGGCGGCAGTGGCAGTCCTAGCATGTTCCACTCTTTGTGCATATAGGAGGCTTCGAATTCCTTTGTGATACGTTGCCTTTCCTCTAAGATCTTTAGGTCATGCTTGGTGTTTGCCTCTGCCTTGAATTCCTCAACCCTGACATCATGTGTGTTGCCTGAGCCTGATTCAACCTGGCCTCTAGTTCATGACCTCGCTTTCTTTCCTCAGCTATCGTGGCAATTGCCTTTGCCTCTACGTCCTGCAACCTTTGCTCATATTCTTGCACTTGCTTTGTGAGCCTGTTTGACCAATCATTTTTAATTGAGTCAACCACTTCATGCATTATCTGAAGGTGCCTTTGTTCAGCTTCCCTCATGACTTGCAATGTGTTTCCACTTGTGATCTGTGCAAGGTTTGTTTTGTATGAACGTGAAGTATGCAACCGCGGGCTGATAGATTGTGTCCTCATCCATGGGCTCAGAGTTGCCTCCGGCTGTGTTGGGCACAGCAACGGGTGGACCTGACCCTGGGATGGCGAGAGGAAGGTCGGTTGGGGTCCCCATGGCAAAGTGGTGAGACTACGGCTGATAACCTGTAGTTTACCAGGTCAGCCACAATATATAAATATATACAATGGGAAACTGGTATACTGTACACTGTACACTAAACCGCGAAGCGGTCAGCACTGTTTTGAACCAACGCTATGGTAGTCGATATGATGTACATGGAACATAGGGTTTTACTGCAGGAAAGTATTGGTTCAATTTGAAGTTGGTTTTTTCTGATGGTCGAGAGTTGAGCACTGCTTCCTTGAGATACACATGGGTGAACTGAAACCAACGTAATGAGAAGAGTAGCTGAGCACTTTTAATTCTGTGGTCACTGCAACATCCTAAACACCGGATTTGCACAATAGGTGAGAGGTAATTTCTGAGGACAGCATGCCAGCAAAATTTGTTGGTCAATGAGGATCTGTCTCAGCCATCGCCAATTCTGACTTCTGAATGTTTTGTAACAAATATCAATCAATACGATGGGCCTCAACAACAGCAACAACAGCAACAGCATGCAACAGCATGCAACAGCAACAACAACAACAACAACCACGACAACCACGACAACCACGACAACCACGACAAGCACAACAACCACGACAACGACGACAACCACGACAAACACGACAAGCACGACAACCACGACAACGACATCAACCAAAACAAAAACAACAACAACAACAACAACAACAACAACAACAACAACAACAACAACAACAACAACAACAACAACAACAACAACAACAACAACAACAACAGCAACAGCAACAACAACAATAACAACCACAACCGCAACCGCAACCGCAACCGCAACCGCAACCGCAACCGCAACCGCA